TAAATAAAACACCCCCACCCCACTCCAGTCACATCAGTCTGTGCCAGTCTGTATCTACCTATAATATATATAAGATGCAGGCTGTAGCTAGGTAGGTGGCAGGCTGCAGATAGGTAGCTAAGTGGCAGGCAGGGGCGGGAACAGCTTACCTTGGTTCTGGCCGGCGCGAGTTCCCTTCTAACACTTCCCGCCTGTCACAGCGTCTAACAAAGGGGCGGGGTGCGCCAGTGACCGCTGTGTACGGATAGAATCAGCGGAGCGAGGAGCGCTCTCTCCCCGCTCCGCTGATTCTGTCAGGCCCCGTTTACACTAGTGCGTTTTAGTTTTAAAAAGGCGTTTTAAAATGAAAACGATCCACGTCCACACTCGCGTTTTACCCAGCGTTTCTGAACTGCTCTTCGTCCACACCAAAACGCTGAAAACGCACATCACGTGACCACACAAACACACTTTGGCGAGCGCTGCAGCCCATCTACCCAGATGAGAGCTCTGCTAGTCGGACTTCTCATCAAGCATCTCCCGCTGGATCTAATCTCACTATATTTATTAAACGTGATATTTCATTCATCTTGTTGTCTTTATCTAACGACATATTCCCTGACTTTGGTCATTGGAATCTATTACTTGTTCTCAGGTAACGTGTTTTGGCTGAGCGCAAAGATAAGTTAATGATTAATGTAACCACGTACATTCTGTATATTGACTGATCTCTTGCCTTTATTTCCTATAATGTATAAACTTATTGTATGTTATACTTTTATAATGGCCATTATCGATTATTAAAACTGATATTCAGCAAAAGAGAGGGTATGTTTCGTATTTTCACTGAAATTGAAAGGAGGCAGTTGTTATCGGCTCCGTTTTGTTATAAATATCCACACAGTGAAGATGACGCTCATGCAGCACCACGCCTCAACATGTCTGCTGTCTGTTTAGTTGTTAATATTAAAATAAAAATAGGCAGTTCCTTATATCAAGTTTACATTTTATTGTTGAGAAAGTGAAACAACGTAGCCAGGGCGATGTGAATGAAGTTATAAAGTACACGGTTTCCTTGTGAAGATTGACGCGTGTCCTCGGTATGTTTTCCATATCAAACTGAGAAGAAGAGATGCAGCCTTTATCAAACTTGCGAAGTCTGAACTTACACGGAGAAGATTCAGGACTGAACTGTGTGTTAGGCTACTTAATATTGAGGAAAAGCCCCAATCAGAGAGGCGAATGTCTGCAGCCCCGCCTCCGTTTTCAGATGTCTCCGTCTTTCCCCATCCACACTGAGACAGAGCAGCAGCGTTTCAGAATGAAAACGGCCTCTCCAGCGTTTTCGAAACGATCCGTTTTCAGCGCTCGAGAACTCCGGCGTAGTGTGGACGGATTCTGTCAGTGTACAGCGGTCGGCGCGGGCCACAAAATATTGCACTGAGGGCCGCAAATGGCCCGCGGGCCGCGAGTTTGAGACCCCTGGTTTAAAGTTTCTCTTTTTGCTTGCTTTTGCCATTGCTTTTTCGTTTGGTTTTGCCAAAGTAGAGTCATTAGCATATTCATACGGGGAAGGAGGCAGGGAGGGGTTTTGCACTCGTGCATGTGCGCTCAGTTTCCCGTTAATTCTGATGTACAAAGAGAATGTGTGGGATTATGCGTACGCAGTGTTTCATATATCTGAATTTTTTACTGCGTACGCACATTTACAGCTTTGTGCGTACGCAATGTTTTAATAGAATTTCAACGCAAGTCTTTGAACATGAGGCCCCAGATGTTGAGTTTTTTTGGGTACAAAATCCTCTCCTGTGCTGAACTCATCATCCTTGTTTATGCAGTCTTTTTGTCATTAAGCTCAGTCTCCTGTTCTCAAGCTCTGTTTAGGCCCACCGCATTATGATTGGTTCAAACAGCACACTATGGAAAAATCGTGCTGTAAGGCGGTTAAGAAAACACGCATGTTCAAATTGTGATTTTAATACGATTTCAATTTAAAATCGCACAGCCCTACTATGATCATATCCAGTTGGAATTAAGTAAAAAGCAGTAATGTGATCCATATTAGTCATCAGCCCCTCACACATACAGACTTTTCCAAAAATTACCGGCAAAAAGATCATGTGTGAACAGGCCTTTTTTGAAAATATTGGTAAATTTGTACCGGCAATTTTCCAGAAAAAGAAGTTGTAACATCACGGTATTTTGCGGGAATGCTGCTCTTTGTGAACACAGAAGGAAAATTGCCAGAAAGAGCGCTTTCATGATTAGAACTTGCTGACGTGAGACGTCTACTCCAGCCAATCAGAACATTCACATCCACACCGTTTATGAAAATAAAAGCCTTTCAATAATATTTCCAGAAACATTTAGCTGCTAGATGTTTGTTAGATAACGTTTCTTTATTCCTTTTTAATGCCAACTGCAGAAAAAAAACAGCTATCAATAAAATGCTTATGATAAACAGCTGTGAGTTTACCTGCGAGCCCTGCATTCAGCTGCATGGCGCTCATCATGCGAAAGTGTTCCTCCATATGATTTCAAATTTGTTCACAATACTTATCTATCCACAGAATTTGTAATGTAGTCAAATGTGTAAACATTTAGCTGCGGTTCGCGGCTAATTTTTAATAAAAGCGAAACCATCAACAAAAGCCCGACCACTATTATATTTACAAGCACAAGCGCAGCCATTAAAGGCCATTTCTGATTAATGATGTCAGAATTTATTTTGGAATGGATGCGTGAACGGTCTTTTCCAGAAAAATTTCAGAACGTCTGTGCCTGTGTGAATTGAGTTATTTACCAGTATCACTGTGTGAAGGGGTTATTGCCTGGATTCAATTTGAGCATTGTAATTGGTCAAAATTAATGCACAGGAAACTCACGTACACAACAAACGAAAGTAAACAGAAAAGAGGAAGATTCAGTATGCAGTATGGACCTTCTCACAACTCCATATTTGCTTTTGATCTGCCATAATTCCATAAAGTGTCAAAAAAACGCATCCCAGAATGCATGTCACAGCTGATTACGGCAGCTGGTTTAGCTCAAAAAGGCTTAATACTTTTTGTATTTGGGTTGGTTCGAGGCCAGATCACATTCCCACCTCAAACGAACCACTCCTGTGTTGGTTTGAAAGTGTACCAAGAGCACCTCTTCGAGCAGATCTCAGTACGCTTGTTTGGTCTACTTTTGGCGTGCACCAGAAAACGGTTGCCGCTTTCACACCTATAAAAAAGAACTGAATCAAAAACGCTCTGGCATTAACTGATCTAAGTAAGGCAAGTGTGAAAGCACCCACAGAAGTACATTTATGTTAATGGTAGTACCTGGATTAGCTAAAATGCATCTTAATTCCAGGAGTGAATGGGTTTTAAGGCATGGCTGCTTTCGTTTAGTGAAAAATCAGTCATGTGTATGCGTTAAAACTGGTCAGTATGACAGCTTGCTAGGTTTTGGATCAGGAGTAGCGCACTGTAAGGAAACAGCTCTCATTGAAAAAGACTTCCTCAGACAGTGCTAGCGGTTGGCAGTTTGCCTTCAGCTGACTGGAATAGCAGCAAAATAACAGAGTCATCAGCAAATTTCACAGAGAAGCCACCAACCACAATAAAGAAAGATCCAAAAGTCACTAGGATAGAAGTCAATATCGAAATTCGTCTATTGTGAGTAGTTAATACAATGTGGGCTGCACTTGTGGGCTGGCTGTTCCAAAGTGTTCAAACATTTCAGGCAACACGTCACCCATAAAATTAGTAAAATATCAAAGAGACAGTCTCTGCTATCTCCAGATGTTATTGTGAAATTCATGGAGCTGGAACAGTATCCGCATGGATTTGTTTATTGGTAGTGGCTGCTGTGAATGACAATAAACTTTTTACAACCCAACCACACCCATTAGGTTTAGTACCACCCTGTTAATTCCTTAAGAATGTCCTAGTAAGCAAGCAGAGATTTTAAAGTGGTATTAGGTGTGCCATCCTTGCCAGTGTTTTTTTGTTTTGTTTTGTTTTTGTTGTGCTTTAACAGAATAGGATATAATAGATCACAGCATTTCTTGCCAAACATTTCTGTACAGCTTTACAACTGGGCAAAAATCCAGGATACTCTGCAATTTCTCTGCTATGTGGAGCTGGAAAGTCTTGTGATAAATATAATAATTTCAAATTCCATGTTTTGCCATTGCATAAAGTTGATTCAGGGTTTTGCAATCTCCAGATGAGCATGTGTTGATCATGCGCTTCCTTTGGTATGGCACGATTTAAAAAAAAAAAAAAAAAAGCCCTAAGCTAACATTTCTCCACGGCCCATAATCTAAAATGAGTTGATCCACCCTGCTGTTAGAAAGCAAAAAAATATTAAATGCCACCACTTTAAAAAGGGCAAGGAATTTGGATTTTCTATTCAATGATTAGAGTTGGCAGTATTCTAATTGCTGACAATTACACAAGCATTGACCAATCCATCAAATAATGATAATATTTTAGTGCTTGCCTATTCACATAGCCTATGAAGGCCTTTTTAAAACTGTAAAACTTGATACAAAACTTGAACAAACGACAATCTACTTTCAAATGCACAAACATGCCATGTGTGAAAGCAACTTCTGAAGGGCATCTGTAAACTTTCAGATATGAAGCAATGGATTTATTGCTTATAACAGGATTCTTTTTCTATTATTAGTTTATTTTTGCTAGTCTTTAAAGCTATATTTAAGTTTGTTAATCCCAATATTTGGTCATTTTGATTATAATTATTAAATTATATTTGGTCTCAAATAACACCAATACTCAGCCATCATGAGAATGTACCCTGTCTCATTCAAGTTTATTTCCCTATTAAAAAAAAAAAAGTAATAAATAATGAAAGAAATCTTCCTCAAACACTACTTGCAAAGTAAACATTTTGAACGCATTGTGAAGAGGACTCCGACTTAAAAGTCATGTTGATAAGATAACAGACAACACAGAAAAATCTCATAGATGATTATATTTCCCAGTTAGTTTCTGACATGTGATTACCTTGCTGGCTTGTGGTGTGTTAAGGATGTGTACAGTGCTGGGCTTGACCCCATTGGCTTTGGCTCTCTTGTAAAGGGCAAACCGGCTTTTCCTTCGCCCTCTGTCACCATTGGGGAGGGAGCCATTGTACCTGTAAAAGAGGACAGCCAAAATTATAGAACAGACAGACAGACAGACAGACAAATAATTTTAAAAAATTGATAAAAATCACTGTGTTTCAAATCTCGACCCTTTGACATGTACAATGCCAACAGTGTGATTAGTCTGTGCTGGTATCTGCAGCGTACCATTAGAACTTTCAGTGCATTATCAGCTGCTAAAATAAAATCTTCTTTCCCACAATGTATGGCATTGCTCGTCACGGACCAAAACTCGATTAAATGTTTGCATTTGGTTGCAAATATTTAAATGCTCATATTTACTAGCAAAACAAAGCATTTGTGGTTGGTAAAACATTTATAACGACTGCAAAGAGATGGCCTCCTGTGTCATTCAAATTGCTAGTATGAAAGCATTTAGGCTTTCCTGAAAAAATATGTTGACAGAAGAAGTTGTGGTAGGTTTTTGGGATGTGGTGGGTTTCTTAGGTTATTAAAGCTGTTTTTTGTCACTACTTGTTCAACCTGCGTTAAAGCATTCAGTGTAAGTTGCACGATTAAACATTAAAAGATCGGGATCTCAACACCCACGCAACAAATGATAAATGATGGTGATTTGCATGTGTTTATTAATCTATTGAATCACTGCATTCAAATCTGTGATTAAAAAATAATAATAATAAAAAAATAAAAAAATAGAGAGAGATACATTCAGAGATATATTCAGAGATACAGATTATAGTTTAGATAAAAACACTGATGTTTATGGTAAAGATTAAACACCATCATGTGCATTTAACTTGATGCCCGAAAATGAAAGTTGTAGGCCTCTATTACATTATTTAACCAATATGTGGCGACAACCAGCCATCAGAAATATGCCACTGAATTGTTCTTTAAAAAAAAAAGACACATCTAGCAATGAAACACAAAGATTTACAAATGAATACCTGAATTATTTATTAATTAGTAATAAATGGAAAGCAAATGACATTTGTCTCCTCCCCTTATTGGCTGATCCAAAAAAAAAAAAAAATGGTTCGAACCTTGACGGAAAAAAAAATAAAACATAATACACCAATACTATCAATGTAAAAAAAAAAGTAATAATAATAATCATCATCATCATCATCAAAAAGCACACTCTTACTAACAACATCCATCTCATTTATTAAATTGTGATCACATTAAAATCAGTTGTGGTTGAAATTAAATATGAATAAAGTGTGTTGGATTCAGTAAATCAATGTAATATTTACAACTCATCAGTAAAGAGGAACAATGTTCTCAAGTTGACCAGCATGTGTAGTTCTTATGCAGTTACTTCCCTTGGACAGCTTCCTTTGTGTTATACAAGTTTAATAATTATCTAAATGTAATTGTCATTTACTCTGAGAAGACAGAAATGACACCATACCTTAAATCAAACTTAAATCCATTCACAGATAAAAGGGAACTACAATGCTCAAGACATGTCTTGGATTAAATCCTGTAAACACAAGCTCCTCATGTCTCCTCTAGTTATGAGCAGTCAGGCATTTGTTCTGCTCCATAAGCTTTTCCTGGAAGTCTCCTGGATCTTTCCTATGAGTACAGCATACAGCATTCACAAGAACAAGGAAAAGTAACAGAGTAAAATGCTAATCTACAATTGGCTCCCAACAGTGAGCATGATGTCAGCACCAGAGAGGTCCAGACATCCTGTACTATTGATGCTTATCACTAGACACTTACACAATTACAGAAAGCATTAAGGCATGTTTGAGTCTACCAAATGTGTAATATCCTGTCTGCGGAGACGTCTTTACAGGGTCTGATTTTGAAGATGATACATCGGTTTCCACTTTTGATTTCACATTGCTGTCAGAGCAGAAAAGTCAATGAATGATTTCATCTTTAGGGAGAAATTGTCATTAAATACATGCTTGGTTGTGACTGAAGCTCATTTGAATTTGTTCTAGATCATTAGATATCACAGGGCCTTGATAAACTGTGTGAAAACATTGTCCTAAGAAAACGCCTTTATGCATGAATGCCACTAGCATAGACTGCCTGGAAAACAAAAGCAGGCGCTTTAGCTTTTCCAATAAGTTAAGGAAAAATAGATAAAAAGGGTCAAATTCTTAATGTGCAGTGAAAAACTACATGTAACACGTCATTAGATGGTTAAATTAGCTTACTTTTTGATAGTGATAATTTTTTATTTCCTAGTAATTCCCAAAGTGGGTGTCATGGGGTTTTATCAAATAACGACACTGCAATAGCATCAGTTGCAGCAGATCGATTCCACAACACTGTCTTAAGCTTTTGGTGTTGTTATTATAGGGGTTGTGAGCTTAAAGGGTCACCAAACACATTTTTTGAGCTGTTGACAGTTGTATACATGTCCCACACTGCTAAAAACACTATTAGGACACATATCTCACTAAAAAGTGAAGATTGGTAGTTTTTGTGTTATTTCGAGCAAATTCATACTTCCGGTTTGAAACAAATTTTTGAAGCTGCGTCACGGCCATGAGATCTTAGCGTGTATTCCAGCATGTAGACTGGGCGACTGTACCTGGGAGTACCGTATTACGTCTAAATCGACACTCCCACACCATCCCTCTTTTGCTCCTCCGACACTCCCCCCTAAACAGAGCTTGACACGTCCACTTTTCTGGCTTTTTCCAAAGTAGAGGTGTAAAAACACAAGAATTAACAAACTGCAATTCATTGAAATTTCGCTACTCCTGGCTCTATAAGAGCACATTTCTATTGACCCCACTGTTAAAATGGCCAACTTTACAACAGAAAAAAAGTATTTACAGCATGGTGCAAAAAAAAAAAAAAAATAGGTTCATATAGCTAATATTACCCCTCACGACAACTGTGGGGGAAATTTTTTATAACTCAATCGTTTCGTTTATATTAAGACTGCATAATTAAGGGCGTGGCCACTTGAGTGACAGCTAGGTCTCCCTGGTCGCCACCCCAGCTGATTTCGGCCGATTAGCCGCTGAGCTCAGCATATACATATAAATCATGATGATGTTTTGTTTTATGTGGCTTTACCCAGTCAGTTGCTTTTAGGAATCATGTCCTCCAATTATCAGATGATATTGCATGCTGTTCACATAACTGTGCTTACAAACCAATCACGTGGCCTCCATTTCCTAAGAGGGTGAAATTAAAGACCAGCTCTATAAATGTTTTTTTTTTTTTATTAAGTAATTCGAATTTTTCCTTCTGTGAAAAAAGTCATAGAAACAGTGTTTAGTGGCTCAAAGCATTACAATAGTGCTTTTAAAAGACTAAAGACTTGAACACAATTGAGTCACAGGTAATGGAAGTATTAAGCGTTTCTCACAAAAAAAAAAAGTCCATCTAACAAAAGCGGCGCCTTGTAATACTGTGCTTATGACATTTATTGGTGAATTTGACATCGTTCCAGGGGTTGAAAACTCCAGGCTAGTGTGGACTGAAGCCGTAACTGTTGTTTAGAATTATCTGAGAACAATGTGCACAAGCAATATTCCAATTTTTAAACGACTTATGTCCAATTAGTGGAGTAATATTTCTTACATTTTTAGTGAGTGTATTATATGTATAGATATAACTAGATTTGCACTCTATATAAAACATGACAAGCAATTTAACAGCCTGTACCAAACATGACAAAGACTGAATTACCAGCCATTTAGCAGCATAGAATAGTATATGGAACTACCAATGAAATGGACAGGTTTACAATCCAATTAATAAAAATTAAACCTTATTAACATTCTTAAAAGTAGACCTAGTGCAGACTGATTGAGATGGAGTGATTATTATGCTGAATGATTGATTTTGACACCGTCACGGATGGTTAAGACAAACACTCCTTTTAAAGAACCCCTATTGTGCATTATAAAAAGGTCCGATTTTTGGGGTCTCCAACAACAGGCAGATGTGTGTGCAAGATCAAAAAACACTTTTATTGTCTTGTAATATGCATTTGAAGAGTTCAGAGGCAACGTCTGAAATTTCCATTAAAATAGCCTTATTCTCTACTTCTATGTTTGTTGAGTTTTTTCATTTTGAAGACCATGTAAAGAACTTACTCTTTGCCCTAAAAGTGAAATTACTAAAACTACACCCAGGAGCCTGATATAAATGCTCATTTCTGAAGAGGTTTTTGCATCTAATCTTTACACTTATTTTTACCTAGATATCCCAAGGGCTTCCCATATGATTCATTCAGCGATTAATTTGTTCCCAAACCCCTCCTTTGCAGGCTAATCTGTGCTGATAGGTCCGATGACCCAAATTTTTTGTGATAGTTTGAATGAGACTGTGAGATGAAAAGAACTGCCCTCTAACGTTAGGCAGGAACCAAAGTATGTGTGAGCCCAATGCAGGGATGCAATGCAATTAAACACCAGCATATACTTTACTCTTAACGCTAATCTCAAGTAATAACAACGACACACATTCAGTATTAATCCACACAGTGGCAAAAGTTGAACCGTTTCGTAAAAGGACCACACCGTGGGTGTGTAGGAACAGCTTATGGTGGCCAACGACAAACGGCAGGAGATCACAAGCTCAGAATTGCATATAAATTGATAAAGGTAGATACACATGTCACATTTTCAACATAGTTTTGGACACTATATGTGGACAGTCCCATAAAGATTAATTCTGAGATGCATTACAAGCACTGATCTATAATAGATAAGTGATTACAAGCCGCACTGAGCCATTACAAGTTACAGCACACAAATAAACATATTTTGCAAACTACACAAAGCGAAGCAACAATTTTAATTATACTTGCATGTTATGATCTGGAGGAAGAAAAAAAACTGCTTCATATTAACTGTAAAAGTTACTGACAAGTCCCTGTCAAAGTCCCAAACATTATCGTCTTTGCTGCTCCTTTTGATAACGAACGGCTGGCAAATCCTGCGTTACAGCGTAGATAATTGTTCCTGCCATTTTCCTGATGATTGATACAAACATGTCACTAGGTTGACTATACTGTGGTATTGTTGTGAAATTGAACTTCAAC